CATGCTGAGGAACAGCACCCTGGCCCAGTTCCGTGGCCTGCCCACCCTCCGGCGCATCAGCCTGGGCCGGAACAGCTGGGTCTGTGACTGCGCCATTGAGGACCTGGTGGCCTGGCTCAAGGAGAGTGACCAGGTGGAGGGCAAAGAAGCTCTGACCTGTGCCTACCCTGACAAGATGGTGGGCAAAGCCCTGCTGAAGATCAGTGTCTTGGACCTGAACTGCTCCATGCCTGTAGACCTGCCTTCCCAGCTACAGACTTCGTACGTCTTCCTAGGGATAGTCTTGGCTCTCATCGGGGCCATTTTCCTCCTGGTTTTGTACTTGAACCGAAAGGGGATCAAAAAGTGGATGCACAACATCAGAGATGCCTGTAGGGATCACATGGAGGGCTACCACTACAGATACGAGATCAATGCAGACCCCAGGTTAACAAACCTCAGCTCCAACTCGGATGTCTGACGAAGCGCTGCGGATGCGAGGCAGCGCACAGTAGCTATGCATGAAAAGTAGACTTATGCTTTACCCTCGTGCTTGCGTCCCTCTCCCTGGAGAAATCTCAGACGTGCTTGTAACATGGAGGGATATGCCTCCCTCTGACGTCAAGTTCAATTTTGTTTTGAGATGCTGGGCAGCTGCGCATGGTGTTGGGTGGTATGTAAGAAACAAGCTGCTATTTCTCTTCCTCTTTACCTGTCTGTACTCGTGGGAAAATTTTTTTCAAGATCTCAAAAGAAAAAAAGGATTCTTTCTGATGCTCCAAAGCCACCAGAGTTTATAAAAAATTTACCGGTGCAGACATCATTCAACAAAAGCTGCCTCAACTTTTTTGGGGAAAAAGTTGTGTTTCTCTGTGCCAGTTTTAATCTTGTATATCCTAATTGTGATGGCAACTATTCGATTTCATAGACTACTCTGAGATTTAAAAAACAAAGAGACTCCTTTCAACAACTCCTCTCTTACAAAGAAGGAAATCAAGTAGTGAGCATGCACAAATACTTTATAGTTTTACATGTTAGGAAACTTATGATCTCAGTAAGTCTCTTACTATTTTGTAAAGTTATTTTCGATTGCAGTTTACATGAGAAGAGAGGTTTTTTTATACAAACTGCATCTAAACTCCATCTGAAGTGTTAAATTCAATAAACAGTCTTACAAGAACTGTTGTGTCGAAGTTTGCTGTTCGATGAGAAATGTATGGACATCTAAGAATGTGGATAGCTTTATAGTCTCTGAAGTAATAGCCCTGCAGTAGTAATCTGAATAAAATTTTATGCAAATATGTAGCTTAGAGACATAAATGTTTGACAGTTTTGTGAATTATGCTAGGAGAATTACACTGATCAGCGATAAGAGAAGTTTCACTTGGCACAAAACACCCAGTCTGCTTTCTCAAAACAACAGCAAAACGTTGAGACAGATGCTAGGGTCCACCTTACTGGGAAGGTACAAGCTGATAGAATTTTCATAAGGTCTTCTTTACCAAATTAAAAAACGATAATTAAAATTAAATTGTGGAGTTCATAAGCTAAAGAAAATTTTACCTGAATGGAATTGTTTACTATAAAAAAAAATGTTCTTCATGTCCTAAACTAGATTAAATGCAGGTCAGTCATGTAGTCGGTGAGCTTCAGGCTTGTAAATCAATGCAGGACTTATTAAATTAAGTGTTTACTGTTTTATTTTAAGCTCTTGGTACTTGTGAAGTTCTGTAGTGATCTACAGTGAGTAACTTGATGGACCTTTACATTTATCTTAAAGCTTATAACAGGTGCATTTCCGTATTGTATGTTACTCACGCTTATGACTTGCTTGGGAATGCATTTTCTTGTAAACAGATAAAGCATGCAAAGAAAAACTTCAAAAATGCATCATTTAATATGCAACTCTGATGACATTTGAAAAGGTTAGCAAGAACCTTCCAGTGGCCACCAGTAATTAATGCAATTTTTCTAATCCATTTATAGATTCTTTAATGAAAAAAATACACCAACTGTAAAAGTGTGATGTGAATCAGTATCTATTGGTATATCTGTGACGCTTTTTTCATGGTCACTGTTACTTGAAGCTCTTGAGCATCTCTGAAATTTTATGAATTAGTGGCTAATTCCCTTTGCTTTCAAAAGTGACAGTTTTCTCATAGATATACACCTTTGGTAAGAGCTCATAAATATAAAATAGTCCTCAAAGTATCAGAAGAAATATAATCTATTCTAGGCATCCGTATTATTCAAATGCTTTTTTCTCTCCTTGCAACTTCAGACAAAGCAAGTAGCACAAATTGGTTCAGACTAATTTTTCTGTTGCTTTAAATTGGCTTTATTTAATAGCAGTGATTTTTTTAATGTACTTTTGTACATTTGCCCTTAAACTTAAAAAAAAAAAATATTAAGTACAATTAATGTTTTGATAAATCGATGTATTTTACAATTAATGTAAGTTAAGTGATAGCCAATTTCTCCTGCTGTAATTTAAATGTGTGAGCAATATCTGGTTAACAGCATATGAATTATGTTTGTGGATTCTTAAAAAGCAGACTGATGGTCTGAATTTTAGCTGCCCCTATTTTAAGAATAGTGTAAAAACTCCAGTGTGAATAATTATTACTGTGCAACTATGCAAACTGTTCATACTTGATATACGTAAGATAGTTTATGTAAGAAGCTAGAATTTACAATAGCTATGCAGTGTGCTTTGTTGTATTGGTCATTTTGGAGATTATCAACTTACACTTATTTGTACAGTGCCAAGAGGGGTAAAGCATCACCCTTGCTTAAGATGTTCCTGTAATATAATAGATAAAATACGTACAAACCAAGCCATTTCTTGGGCAATTTCTCGGGTTTTGTTAACAGATACTTTAAAGTAACTACAATAAAAGCAATTATCCGTGATGTGTTAATGTAACAGCCGTGCATTTATAGAGCTGTGTAGGGATAGGCAACAGCTTTAACCACAGTCTCTCACCAATGGACTCAGTATTTGTATAGTGAGCAAGTGTAACTGCTGTATTACACCTATTATTCTAAAGATTATTATTACTATTTTTGTATCATAAAAAGTCATTGTAATAGAATTTTATTAGAGACCTGGTGACAGCTACTTTAAAATATTTTTTGCCATTTGCTTACGTGTGTATTTATTAGGATGTAACAGTTAGCATGTGTCAGTGTTGTGTTGGATAATGTTCTCCTACAGCGTTTGTCTGACAGTGAATGCTTTGGTGTTTTGTACAATGCATTTGATCTTAAATCCCCTTCCATAAACAGTGCTTGAAATTTGTTTTCCTTTCCTATTACAAAATAGCTACAGTGGTACTCAGAAGACATTTAAAAAGTAGCTCCCAAAGTGCTTCAGAACTTGGTTAAAAAGTATATATTTAAAATAATGTTAGTTTAAGGGTTCTTCTGTAGCACATTTTATAATCTTACTCTGCTATGACACCTGAAATTTCAATTCATTACCATTTCCAGAGCAGCTGAATTAGCAAGGCTGTTTTATTAATTCATTCTTCAATAAAACACGTGCAGTACTCAATGCCTCTAAAATGTGTTTTGTATACATAACTCCCCAAAGTTCTGCATGACCTGATTGTCACTGATGTTTCATAGGAAACATCTAGACTAAAGTAGTGAGCAAATCCTCAGGGAAGGCTGTGCAGCTAAGAAGCAGAAAGGATGGTTTGTGCAAGGTTCAACTGCTTTCTTAAAACTAGTTGTAGCTGTAATAAGCTTAAAATTTTCATAAAAGAATAGCACAAGGAGTTGACATAGTTTTAATATATTTTCCTAAAGTACTTTGGATAAAAGTTGTTGCCAGGTAAGAAACAGAAAATTCCCCAAATCTTTTTTTATCCAAGGTAGCTTTACATTAGATCATCCAACTTTTTTTTTTTTTAAATTCTTAGCAAGCCATAATATTACCAATAATTTTGACAACCAGTAAGTGATTTAAGTTTTACACAACTGCTTTAAATCCTTTCATTCAGGGTAATTTACCTTTTAAACCTTGGTAACAATCCCCAGTGACATGCAAGCTAGTGAAGCAGTCTGTTCAGACCTGTGTTCGGCTGTTGACTGAGATGTCACTGAAGACAGGCGTGGCAAAATATTCAAAATATGACTGTGCTAGGATCCCAACTGTCATTATTCTACCAGCATTTTCCCTATGGTATACTCTGCTCTTTATGCATCTGCATAATTTCTTCGCCTCATTTTCTCAAGAAATCCATTAAAAGGAGTATCATGAATCTGCACAGGTAGAGAAATCAGTCCGACTGCACCTATATTTTGAGGTTTAGAATCTTAATTTCCCTTTAAGCCTTAACATGAAAAAGAGCCTTTGTCAAAATGGACAGAATGAAAATTTGATATGCACTTTTTCTTTCTCCTTAGCATCTGAATGTTCAAGAAGAACCATTCATTCTCGGCATATGATGAAGGAAAATAGCATTTGGTAAGAAAAACATTTTGGTTTCAAGCTTCCAAATGACAAAATTTATATTCTATGAGAGAAGGTTGGAGGTAGAAGCTCATAAAGGAAACAGAGATATCCTTTTTGTAAGAGGTCAGCACTGGAAATCACAACATGAGCAATAGAACAATTGCTGATTATCATAGAATCAGAAAGGTGTGGATTGGTTCTGCCTGTTATGTTCGGTCATGTTTATGGATACAGCTGTAATTTCTTCCTCTTGCTATAAATACAAACATTTTGCTAACAAATAGAGTCATGTCCTATAATATTTGCAATGCAGGTGTTTCCACTGTGAGATTTTTGTGGGATATAATCAAAGATTGAATTTAATTCAGTGCCTGCTGATTTAATAATGACTAGATCAGACCCATAACTTAACGCTCCTTTTTTGCAAATGTGCTTCTTACTACTTGCAAAGACCTTGGCTTGAAATCAAACAATGAAAGCCCACTAAGTTTGTTTTGGGGAGTGTACCATTTATTATTTCACACACACTTGAAAAAGAGACATAAACCATACAGGAGCAGAGGATCCTTTGCTGATGCAGACGTAAGTGTACTCTGCTAGCTTCCTGAGTCAATACAACAGTGTCAGAAAAGTGGTGCTTTGTACCAATACAATAAACCTAACAGCCCTCCTCTCCCACCTCGGGGAAAAAACTCACCAAGCCTTTAGAAGTAAGAATATGGGTTTGCAGTATAAGTATGTTCTTAAAAAGGGCTTTTGCTTTCTCAGTGGTGTTACAATTTATGTGTTGTCACATCCTTGGAAAACCTTGCTATGCCAGAAGTCATCTGTCGCATAGGCAAAGCTTGAAATCAGGCTTTGCATTCCCAATGTTAGCCTAAATAGAAAAGAAAGAAATAAGAAAATTGAAATGGTACTTTAGACAGTGTATTCATGTTGCAGTTAATAATTTAATACTTGCAATTATTTGTATCTTTCAAAGTATTCACTGGATAACTTTTCCTTCCTGATGACAGACTAACAATAATAGATTTGTGTTTTCGAGTAATTATGTATGAAAGTGTCTGAGTAAATTAACAATGTTGTTTGAGTACATACAGTGATGAAAATGTTAGAAGTCTCATGGTCTGGAATGTTTCGCTACTTAGAAATTTTAGATGCAAGAAACTGCTGTAACTTTTTCAGATTTAAGTTTTGTTTCTCAATTATCAATTATTCTTGAAGAAAAACACAATAAAATATTTACCAGATTGCTTATAAATGTTATATGTTCACCCTGTTGATTTAATTACTATAAATCCTTACAGATATTGAAGTATTTGCTAAAGCTGTATTCTTTATAGCTCAAATTGATGATTGTGCTGTGAATTTGCATGACAGAGTAGTGAAAAAGCAACTTCCATCTAGATAGCGTGATTACTTTCTATAGAAAGAAATTTGGTCAATGAATATAAGG